GTACTCATTCAACTTATCCACTCATCTCTGTAGATGACATACTGAGAATATAATGGTGGAAAATTGAAACTTTGAGGAAATTGTGACCCACCCCAGCATTCTTTTCACACTGTTCCTGTAAGTGTGGATGCTGACTAGTGTGTACCATGTAGATAGACAGCATGTTTGTGTAAAAATCCTAGGAACTAGCTCCAAAAGATGCAGACTCTAACCTTCCCACACCCCGGCTCTGGGAGATGTGCTGACCTGCAACCACCGAGCCGGGAAGATGTGAAGGCAGGGTGACTAAACCGGGCCGAGGCACACTGGACCACCGTTCGCCTTATCGGAATGGACTGTGCTCCTCTCTCTGCAGAGCACTTTTCAGTGCCCTCCCTTGATCTCTTTGTTCTGTCCCCTCTCCCTTCTTATAAAAACCTGTCTCTACTGAGAATGGAGATGGGCTTTGGGATATGAGCCCCAAATCTTCCAGGTGGCCAGCACCTGCCTCGCAACTATTGGCTTTCCTAGAGAACTGGCACCTGGACATGCCTTTCTGTTACAAGAAAAAAAAATCCTAGAGTTACATATGCATTTTGAAAACACAAGTAAGCTATATTTTATACATGTAATTTCATTCTTGGTCTAGAAACACTAACACTTCCAGTCAGTTGACACAGGCTTTTGTACCCTAGAAAGTTAAAAAAAAAATTTAAGGGATTTAGAGGATCATATGTCCTTCAGCAAACAGAAGCCAAATGCATTCGTGGGTTGTAGAGACTGCAGGTTTCCCCTCTGAAACTGCAGCTTCTCGGGGCAAACACGCCCAGTATCACACAGCGAAGCAGTGGGAACGTCAGAAACGTAACTGCTTTGGTCTCGTTTATACCCGCAACTTTCTATTTTAGCCTTGAAAACAGCTTTCTGCTATAATTATCTTTTAAGTGTTTATTACTTATTTTGATAGCGCTATATTTCAAAAGAAGGACCGAGAAGTTTGGGGAAACTTTTATCTTTTTATAAGATATAAATATATAATTTTAATAATATTATGAAATTTATGTAAATTTTACATGATTGTAACTAATGCATTCGTCAAAGTATTCACTTGTAGAAAAATTAATGAACAGTTATCCAGGACTTGAAATAACTGCTGATGAAAAACAGAGTAAAGTGGTTTATCTTCATCTATCAGTCTGTCTGTCTATCTATCTACCTGCCTACCTACTTTCCCACCTGCCTGCCTATCTGTCATCTACACATATTCTAAATGTTTTGAAAGGGCCAAAACCCAGCTTCTTACAAAAGTGGACTGAATAATCAGGAATAACTGTGGACAATTTAATGTTGTAACACAAAGTGTTTCGGAGTCCAGAGAAAGGCATGGGGAACTCTCTGTGGCATATAATATAAGAGCTACACAGCTGGGCTTGGTATAATTAACATCCGTATTATAAAGAGCAGGTGAGTAAAAACTGGACCCAATGCCAAGAGAAATGACCTGAGGCAGCTTTTAGGTTAGAGAGTGATTAACATATAATCTGAAATAAGTATGGGTTATAAATCTCACGTGTAATAGTTTTTCAATTTCAGTCGGCCACAAGGGTGCTGCATCTTTTATCACTTTCCAGAGCCTGCATATTGGCCAAAGATCTCTCCACTGCTAGTGCACCTTGTTCCGATGAGGGATATAAAACAGACAACCTTCTCCCGCAGAGTCAGAGTGAAAGCTTTGTATTTCCTGTTTATCCCGTGTGTCAGCTTCGTCCGAGAGAACTTTCTGGGAGGATGGAGATGTTCTGTATCTGTGCTGTTCAGCAAGGTGCCACTGCCCCATGTGGCTACTGAGCACTGGAAATACGGTTTCATGGGCTGAGGGATGGAATCTTTCATTCTATTCCATTTTAATTAATTTAAAGTTAGATAGCCACACCTGGCAGTGGCAATGGTGTCCCTGAAGTCTTAGATGCAAGCTTCTACCTCTTTACTCCACTGAGGGCATTTTCCTGAATTTTTAGCTATTTCTTAACTAAAATAACTATATTTTTAGTTGTCAGATGCTAGACCTTTACAACCTAAGCCAACACTAAAACTCAAGCTGCCTGTCATTCAAAGTACTGAAAAAATTTTATTTTGGGTTTCTCCCTTTTACCCAATACTGTTTCTGTCAATTAATGAATACATTACTATTCAGGACCTCTTGTCTTTAGTGGTGGTCATAATGGCACTCTTCAAATTCCCAGTGTTCAAAACAGACATTTTCTCTTTTCTGAGTAAGAGTCTTTATAATTGAGCTAATTGTTTTTCATCCATCATAAGGGTCTAAGACTTGGCTTTGTTATTTTTCCCTTGAATCCAATTAAAAATCCTTTTAATAAGTAAGTGTTTAATGTGTAGGTTAGATCGTTCAATTTTTCCATTTATTTTATTTTGTCTTTTTATCCTAACTCAGGTTAGTAGACCATCATCTCTGCCTGACAAGACACTTTTGGGGCTCCTGAACCTTTTCACAAATTCAGGTTTTCTTCCAGAAAGTGACAAAAGACCTGAGGAAAAAATAATAACAAAGTCCAAGGTTATTTAAGATTTTTTAACATAAATAAAATATAACATTTAATTTAAATCGATATACTCATGTCTAGGTGACTTCTCCCTTGTTCTCAAAGCAGGAGGTCATTTTCTGACGTCTAATAGGTACTTCCAAGTGGAGAGCAGTTAAGGAGGCTGCGTGCGGTGTGGCACCGTATCCTACCCTTCCAGTGAGTTCTAAATCTCAGTGCTGTAATTAGCTGGAGTGGGACAGGAATTTAAAACCACCCCTGTAACACTCTGCTCAGGGAAATGAGAATACTGATGACCTAAGAGGCAACTAACTGCAACTTCAAAACGCTCTCAGCCCAGCCCATCAAACCTGAGACTTCTCTTGGTAATATGTTGTGAGCCCTTGGAAGTGTTACAAAGTGAGCTTCAGATCAAAGGAAGTAGAACGCACAGCTCCAAACTGCTCGTTATTTATTGATGCACACCCCCTATTCAGGCCGGCCATCTACCTCTGCATCATAAAATCGCACAAACATTACGAACAGCTCTGACTTTCCCAATGCGTGTTATTGACGCCAGAGTGCGGACTCCAGCTTCCACACAGCGTTTGTCGATGTGACAGTTTCAACTGCCAAAATTTTGAGATTGAGTCATTAATTTCTCCCATTTCTAACGAATAAGGTGACTTAATAAAATTACATATGCTGGACCCAATTTTAAAAGTCCATGTATGTCCATGTGTATGTGTATCAGTGTTTATAGTTATGGAAAATCTCCAGAAAGCAGGGCTGAAGTCCTATAAACACCAAAATGTTTCTCTTAAATAAGTCCACTTTGGGAAAAGCTCTGTCACATGGCTCTTACACATAATTGCCTCACCTCTGGACTGCTGCACTCACATCTGGCCTGAGCCCCCATGAGGTCGGGCTGGTTTTGACTGTAACCCCATGGCAATTTGCCTGTGTTTTGAGTCTGAAAATGCAGTTGGCTAATATTTTGAGTCAAGGAGTTGGAATATAACTGTACCTCTCTCCCTGCTCTAGGGACATGGCAGCGGAGCCAACATCTGTGCGCACCCATATGTGTGTGTGAGAGAGAAATAAGAGAGAGATGTGTGTGCGTGCATAATAAAAACAAATTCCAACAGTTACCCGAAATGCTTGCTGTATATTGTGGGTGCTCCTTTTAGATTCACGGTAAATGTTCATTACAATTTAAAAAGTGATAGGAGGAGTTTGTATCCCGAGGTATGTTAGGGGAGTCATTTTACCCCATTTCTTACCTTTCCATAGACGGGCTCAACTTCTACCCAGCTTTCTGAGAGGCCACATCCTGTTTCGTCCTCTGCTCACTGCTCTTCGTTCTCTTATAAAAGACACGGGAACGGCAATATCCTCAGGAACCAAGGCGGCTCTCCTTACTCTCCAACACTCAATGCTCTGTTGGTGCCCAGTTCATTCTTCTCTCTGTCCCAACACTGGGCTTCAAAACTTTTTCACATGCCTTGGAGAAGATAGTTACATATGGCCATCTTCTGCAGCTTTGCTGCTGAACAACCGCTCAGCTTTACCAGCATTGTCCAGCTTCCAATCCATGCTTATCCTCATTATGCAAGGAGGGACCCATCCCTCTTAGAGCCGGTTTTTAGGGGAGCACATGATGAAAAGACATCTAAGCAGGAATAAACCACAGCATGTCTACATTGCCTCATTTGGAAAATAAGAAAACTAGATTAGACAATAATAATCATTGATGGTAATGAAGTCGTTACTCTGTTTCAGGAACTTGGTGGAGTAATTCACATGTATTATTTCATTAAACCTTGTAACAAATCTGTGAGGCAGGAAGTTGTCTCATTTTACCAGGGAGATAAATGGGGCAGGGAAGGACTAAGTAACATGCTCAAAATGATCTCTGAAAGGCCCCGTGGTTCCCAAATGCTATGGTTTTCATTTAAATATCCCAGTGTAAAAATCTAACAGAAGTAGATTAAATAAGTGAAAATAATATGAAAGCATATTTTATTTTTTAACCTCAGGTCATTTTTAAAAGTGAAAGCCATAGGCTTTTTAAAAAGGTCAAATGCATCTCAATGATCAGATTAATTAAATTTAGATGCTTATCATTCTAAAATGGAAACAATGACTGATGACATAAAATTATGCTTTAAACAGTGAGTCAGGCATCCAGAAAAAACAAATTTTCCAAGTAGGAAATGTGGAGTTTGTGGTTAAACAAGAAATGCCAGAAAAATAAAAGAATAAAAGAGGAATATGGAATAATTGAAGTTGGATTTCTCAAGTGTAGAAGACACAAGAATTTTCCTCTTATGTGTGTATTTCAATATTTCTCAGTGTTAATCATATTATGTTGATAGCAGATTATGATGCTCCATTTGATACCATCTGAGTTACCATTTGATGGTAACTCAATACCATTTAAAAATGTTCAACTCTGAGGGAATGTTGGATTAAGCAGCTTTTTATTTCCACACTTGTCATGGAAAGCCCTCCATCGCTGGAGGGAAGGATACAAGGTCAGCAAAGCTTCTGCATCAGCAGTGAAGTGTCCTCCCCAGACCCACCGCAGTGGGCCCTGCAAGTGGACTTGACCAACGACCCAAATTTCACTTTTCATGTAGTAACTGTCGTAAAAAGAGTTTTCCCCTCACCATCAAAGGATGGAAATTATGACTATTATAGGAAGGCAATAATCATTAAATAAATTAAAAGCATCTTTAAAGTTTTTCCATATACATATATAATATATTTTTTAAATTGCCATAGACTGTACAAGCATTAAATTCTCTACTAAAACATTTACAGAAACTAGGCAGAAAGCTGAGAGGAAAGATTGGCTCTTAGCAAAGGACAATCATTGAATCACCTGTAAACTACATTAAAATACATTTCTTAAGGGGAAAAAAGCTATACAGAGAAGTCAGACTTACCCAAGGTTTCTTATTTAATCTCATATTTAATCTTAAGCATCAGGTGTGCATAGCTGTTCTTTAACCCGATTCTGATTCAACATGAAGTCAATATCCAGACCTTTGTTAGGTATTAGCACAGAGAAAAGTGATCGCAGAAAGACTAAACTGAGTAATGTTATTATAAAAATGTTTTATGTCAGACTGATAACAGTATTATACAGATACGATTACCTATGAAATATTTAAATGGGCAACAAGAGTTTTTTTTCAGAACTATTAAGGTAGAAATCAATGAACGAATGACCATCAGCGAATACACGGCCAGGCGAGTGTGAAAATGTGGGGTCGTCCTGCCACCTGGGGTCCGGTCTTCTGGTTGCAATTCCACAGTCCCGAGTCCTGTAAACTGTGTACTATTTACACGGTTACAATAAAATACTTTGAAAATCCTGTATTGACATCCGTAGCCGCTGAATTTGAATTCAAGAGAATAGTAATGAAAAACAATTCATCTTTTGAGTGACTGTGTTTGTGCCTTCGTGTCTCACATCCAGGAGTGGGGTCAGGGTCGGGGTTGGGAGAAAGACAGACCCACGGGGACGGCGGAGGTGGGGGAGGGGGAGACGGAGAGACCTGGGGAGCCGTGTGACTGCGGGATGGTGTCAGAAACGTGACTGCTCCCCACGGCCACTTTTATATCAGGAGACTTATAAAAAAATCTACGTAGCACTTACACAGACACTAGCACCTAACAAATGGTGAAATCGTTAATTCATTTTCCCGACTATTTCAAGTAAATTTTTATTAATTAAAATATTAACTCATTTATTGCAACTGCCACTAGTGAAAAGTAACCTTCCTGTATTATGTGGGAATGAAACTGTTCCTGTTCACACGGGAGCGCGTCCTCGCTGCAGCGGTGACCTGAGGGGACGCCCCCCCACCCCGCCCCCCAGCAGAACTGCTGGCTGAGGACCGTAGTGATCCGAGAGACCATCCGGGCGCTTGCTTTGTGTTGCAATTTTGTCATATAAATTGCCACTTACAATAAAATCTTAACTAGTTTGTACTTGGACATTTTTATTATTTAGAGGACTTGGGGCCATTTTAGGTTTTTTAATTTGTAACACGTAGGCATCAATTCCATTAAGACAGGTAGCAAGAGACACCTGGAGAGAAAAAGACTGAAACGCAACACTGGGAATTGCAAGAGGTTTGATTGAAATACCTCTAGAAAAAAAAAAAAAACCTAGTTAAAAGTTTCATCAAATCTACCAACAAAAAATAAGTTTTCTTTATCGAAAAACAGTGTGACTGGGATAGACAGTGACCACAAGCTGGCTTGCTTCTATTATATAATTTCCCTTTCAAATTTTTGATTAAAAGTTTTTGAAAGTAATCTTTATCACCTATCTCATTTCAAATCTTTAACTTTATTCTATCAGAACAACAACAGAAGAACGAACTATAAGAAACACAGTAATTCAAGCATCAGAACTTAATTTATTATTTAGAACTGGTGTGGCTCATTCACGAACTTAATGCATGTGAACGCCGACCTTTGTGTACTCCAAAAGTACCAAAGAGCTGCTTTTCGTGGTAATCTGTGAATGGGGCTCCAATAAATAGAAGCACTACTTCAACAGAGACTTCCACACGCACAAGCACTGAAGAGGAGAATGTTTTTGCATTTGGTTTGTGAACAGAGATACTTGCTGTTCTTTAAGGTCCCGCTATCATCCATTTAAGAAAGCTGTATATGATACAGCCAATATTATACACCCAAATTTTCAGTGCCAGAAGGGCTCTCCAGCTTAGACAGACTCTTCATTTTAGGACACTAAAGACACATGGTTAAAAGAGTGTGTTTTACAAAATAGATGCTCAATAAATGCTTATTAACTGATGAGCCACAATAGAGGACCATAGGCAGAGATAGAGCAAGTCCCAGGTCTTCTGATACTTCATACCCTCTGCAATGGCTGGGTCATCTCTAACCAGGTGAGACTGAAGTAAGATGAGGAGTAATTTAACCACAGATATAAATAACATCAATGACAATTCACAGTCTGAAAACATTTCTGAATGTTTTCACAGGGAGTGAAAAAAATTTGAGACGATATTCAAGAACAAAAGTATAAGAGGACATACTTATGACAAATGGAAATGAAAAAAAACAAAGTATCTGTATTTGATTCCTTTTCTTGGTGGATAATTTTTAGTGAATTTTGCTAAAGAATACCTTTCATGACTGAATCAAAAGTCTTGGTCCATGTGAAAAAGTGCCTGGACCAGAATGTGGCCAAGGAATGATAATGAATCTTTGATAGTAATTAAATCGGTCATTTAAAGATTCCATCAGTTTTTGAACCTTGGCATTGATTGATTACTTCACAGGAAGTAAATGCATAGCAAGAGAACTAAGACTTTAATGGTTTCAGGAAGGATTTTTGAATTCAGCTTAAAAGAACAAAGGAAAGCTCATACATACAAGGAGAGGTATAGGAGAGGAATTACATCTGGATTTTGGAAAATGGGGTTGCTGGTTTCCTTTTCTGGGAGGCAATGAAATAAAAACAACTGTATTTCCAATTAAATGGCAGGGCCAAGCGGTAACTCTCTACATATGCTCTTGGATCACTTGATCCTTTTTTGGTAAAGTTCTCATAATTGAATGGTGCTGGCTAGAACATGAAATTAAAAAAAACAACAACAAGGAATCCTGTGTAGGCCCAATTAGAAAACCATGCTTAGCAAACCTTCCTATGGAAGGCACAAGCACCTGACAGTGCAGACACACACACACACACACACACACACACACACACACACACACACACACACCCCCGTGACACTTGGCACATACTCGCCACGCAACTGTTCATACTCTGCCTTGTGCAGAAAAACACAGATAAACAGGAGTCTCCAACAGTTTTAAGATAAGCATCAACGTTGATTGGGTTATTAGCATTTACTGAGTTGCTCAGGAATCTAAGGCAGTAAGCCTACTTTCAAAATAGGAAAGTATTTGATTCTCTATGCGTGGAGATGAAGGATAAGCTATCACTGTTTTTCCAATCTATTTTCAAAGCCCATTAAAAAATAAATCACTGTGTTCTCTAACAGTCCTAAAAACAGTTTGAGTTATCATTTTCCTCATGTGATTTTTAAAACAGAAATAGATGTTTACATTTATTAAATCCTTGCACTGAGTTACATTCAGAAACAAATACAGTCCAGTTCTCCATGGTGGAAATTGTCAGTCTATTCGCTCCTTTCTGGGTTTTTTTTTTTTTTTTTGAGTATTAAAAAATCTTTTGGAATGAAACGCATTGACAATGCAAAAAAAGTTCATAAAAATAAACTGATTCAATGAAGCATTCAAACAAGTTCTTTGCCAGGTTATCTGCAAGCACAAGACTCTACTGTCATGTTAGGATATACTTTAAGTACCACATTCTTATTTTCGTCAAAGAATAAGATACTGAGCGAGGACATCTTTTCTGGCACACAGCAAGGCTCGGGAATTCCCGGGACGACCCCCACGGCTCTCACTATGCTCTGGATGGTGGCATGGTTTGATGGCTTCAAAGACTAGAAAAGAAATTGGAGAACACACAAGTTAAATGGAACTGCTTTTCTGCTCTGCACCCTGCATCACTAAAATGCACACATAATGAGCTCCTCTCAACAATGTCATAACACCCTGGCATCCCAACACATCCAGCCCATCTCCTACACCACCATCACCAAAATGGTTATAGTTTGTTAAGTGCCTGCTGTGTGTCAGGCATGTTATTATACTCAGTATCTCTATTCCTACAACAAAACTACAATTTCTTACATTTTATAGGAAAAGAAATAGACTCAAAAAGTTTAAGTAACACATCTAAAGTCAAATAGCTACTAAGTGGTAGAGTGAGGATTTGAGTGACTTAGCCTCAAATGGGATTCATATATCCTAGGATGCTTTCAATAATAGAATTGCAACAAAAAATACTTGTTTTAAATCCTAGGCTAATCATAAAGAACCCTAACAAGCCCCTTACTCAACATTGATACTTATTGCCACTGCTATAGTGATATTTGTACTTTTTTGTTATAAATAAAACAGCCATATCAAGGGATACTGATTTATTTAACTGTTGCTACAAGGATGAATTGGATGGTGATCACGCCACTAAGTAATTATTCACCTCTCCTTAGAAACACAAATTGGGCTTGAGAAGACCACACCATTGGCCACTGGGGGTCACTATTGCTCCATGGTGGAACTTGACTGTGGCAACATCTTGTTCTAAGAGTGGGCCGTATCTGCTGGGAAAGATGCAGGGAACCTAAGGTTATCGCGTGGATGTCAGAAGTTTGACCAAAGAAGCCTGGGTAAAATCTGTCCCTGAGAAAAGGCCAATGAGCCCATTAACACCCACGTGAAACACATGGTCTGATTTAGAGCGTGCCTGACAGCACCGAAGGGCAGTCACTTTTCCAAGCCCGGGCGTTCAGATGTTGCCAGAGTGATAGGAACTTCACCAGAAATGCCGCACTTTCCAATGTTACTTCTCCCCCATGTCTTTTTTTATACAGGTGAATCCAGTATTGTTTTAAGTATATTTTGAACAGAAATTTGGTAACTTGCCAGAGATCACGTGTGAATTCAGGAGTAGGATATAGGTCAAAACTCTGGCTTTTTGGTTTCAGAGTTTTGAGCTGTGTTTCTCACGGCTCAGAGGCACCTCTGCTGCAACGAACTGGCATTTTAAGTTCATGTCCTTGAAACTCCCAGTGTGGGAAACTGGGAAAAGCTAAAAGGTTAAGGATACATACAAGTTAAGGGAGAAGCAAATAATATAGAAAGACGGCATGCTATTTTTTTTAATGATTCTTTTTGGCAGAGAAAAAAACAAGTATGATTGATCTCATTCCATCTTCCAATTTTAATGAAAATAATTACCCATAGGTTAGACTTTAGCTTTATTATGAATATGCATAGATTATTTAAAAATTAGTCTTGATGGGCAACTGTTTTTTACTTGCTCTTCCTAGATATTTTAAGTACGTGTTTAAAAAATGCTAGCTTTTAATTAATTACCTTTACAGAGAAGGTATTTCCCCTTAAGGAGAGGAAGTTTATGCTGTTGTTTGGCCTGTCACGTGCTCTCCACCATCAATAACACCTGTGTAACTGGCACAAACTGCGGCGAGTATATTGTACCATAGAGGTCAACAGCCACTGTTCATTTCATTAGTGTTGGTGATTTCCAAAGAAAATTGGGCTGCCATCTACTCTTCGTTATTAATCTATTCTTTATTTTTTAAGATTTTATTTACTTATTTTTAGAGAGAGGGGAAGGAGGGAGAAAAAGAGGGAGAGCGACATCAATGTGTGGTTACCTCTTGTGTGCCCCCTACTGGGAACTGGCCCACAACCCAGGCATGTGCCCTAGACTGGGAATTGAACCAGAGACCTTTTGGCTCCCAGCCTGTGCTCAATCCACTGAGCTACGCCATACACCAGCCAGGGCTATTGATCTGTTTTTAAGACTTAATCATCCAAACAGCTTATGACAATGCCCCAAGTTTTAAATCAATAATTTTTCTGACTTATTCTGTTATTGTTAATATTTTAATGACCTCTACACTACTTAAATTTCCTAAGAAGTGAGTCTACTTAAGTAGACGAGGTCAATAAACACTGTTCTGCAAGCCTAGAACAGGGCTTTAGACTAAATAAGTACTAAGTGCATGAAATGTGTATAAAATATAACATACACTCCACTCTACCTATTTCTATGGAAATAATTCTGAACAACAAAAATAAAAGGTTCTGTGCAAATGACCCAGAGTAGATATGGAAAACATTCATGGGTGTTCCCTAGGAAAATTCCTGTCGTTTTTTTCAATGCTGTAACTCACAAATGATAGATTCAGAAACTATGAGAAGTCCCTGGTGGGCCCATGAAATACAAGCCCACGGTTCTCGGCTGGTGTGTCTTATCACGAATTTCTCAGCTTTCCAGGGAGTGTCCCTCTTTTTTTTCACTGTGGACTCCTCTGATCAAGCTGCCACTACCGGGAATAATTATGTCATGCACAAAAGATCCAGGCAGTAGTTTGCTTATTTGAAGCATATCACCCAGTCTATAATTTTTGTTTGTTTTTGAGTTTTGATCATATTTCTCATGACTTTCTTTACATAGCTTAGGAAATCTATGAATCACTAATGCAAATCTGTGTTATTTCCCTTCGCAGGATCCCTTTTTAATGAGGGCAAAACAGGACTTCATCAGTTTAGGTGATTATTTTTGCTTAGGTAACTCAGTACATCAGGAGTTAGAATTTTTAGAGTTCATAATTACGAGCAGAGATTGGAACTGGAAAACTTGGGGAATTAATTGAGGGTGTGTCATTTTGAACTCATTAAACATACAATTTAATTTCTTCTTTATATAAGATGCTTGTTCAAAGTGTCGAGATTCTTTGCTGCCTAGTTCTGTGTCTTTGCTATTCCTAGCTTTTGCACCATTCCATGCAAACAGAACTTCATTCCTCTAATCCTTGTTGGTTCTCTGGGGCCTCTGTCAGCAACAATGGTTCAATCATTTTCATTTGAAATCTCTGTTTTCCATCTTTGCGAAGGTGCTGAGAAGAGAGTCAAAGGCATATGCGTTGGCTTTAGCTACATGGGCATTTTTCATCTGATGGCAGAATTCCAGGGGTCTCTCCCTGGGAGAACAGATTGGCTGTCGGGGCTAGAAATCAGAAAAATCCAAACTGCCGTGCCTGTGAATGAAATCTGCACTGGTCAGGCCCGCACCTGCCAAGCTGCATATGATGTCCTCGAGTTGAATTTGATTACAAATGCATTAGCAGGGGAGAGTATGTCATCAGCTCAGAGCCTTCATTCCTGACCCGGGCCATGGGCTTTTGCTCCACACTCTTCCAGTCCAGCCCACATGGGTGTGATAGCCCAGAAACTATCTAATTGGAATCAGTGAAAGGGCAAAGCCTGGAATTTGGGAAAGGCAGAACACAGCTGTTCCGAATTACAGAACAGGTTGCCGACTTTTGCAGACACAGAGCCCCGCCATATAGAGCAGGCGTTCGTGCAGGAAGCCAAAACGAAGGAGGGCCCGGAGAGGAGTCTGGCCTGGAAGAACTTCTCTCTGGGGCGAAATGTATATCTGAAGTCTGAAGGTTCTTTGGCGCCTCAGTTATTCCACATGTGTTTGCACTGATCTGGTCGGAGACCTTGTTTTCTTCTGTTGCTTGGGCGATATTTCTATTTAAGCAGTTTACTCTGGTTACCATTTTGGACACTGTGCTGATAACAGCGATGCTGATTAATTACCCCTAATGTAGCAGCTTCACATTGCTTTATGTTTCCCTTCCTTTTGGTGACTTTACCACTTGAAAGCCACAAAACCTGGAAGGCTTAAAGGGAACCACCAGAATGCTTTAAAAGTTAAGCAGATCCACACTAGGTGATGAGAGACTGAGAACTCCATGTAACAGCCAAACTTCCACTCTCAACTTGGCAAAGGGAAATCTCAAGCTCAGAGAGAAAACTCCACACTTATCCCTGTTATGTCTCCCTGGAGTTCTGATGCCATTCCAAGTTTTGACAAATATTATGATGAGTTCAGTTGCTGCACCCGATGCTCTCCTGATTCTATTATTCTCCAAAGAAATGTTGCTGGAAGAGCTTACAGGCTGTTGAACCTACAGAGAGAATCCTATTTTAGGCTTTGTGATGTTTAAAAAGGGACTAGAAACATTTACAAAACCTTCTCTTGTCTCACGTCTTTCGTTCTCTTGATCTCTTTCCCTATGGGGTCTTTCTTCAGCTCCTACATGAAACTCTCTGTTCTCCACAGCCTCAGCAGTGGCCGTTAATAATGTCGGTGGCAAATATTCATATAGTGCCTACTATGTGCACGGTGCTCTAGTAGCTCGTTTCCCCACTGTGTTTACTATGTAGATACTGTTATTTTTATTATTGATTGTTGTATCTATTTCACAGATGAGAACACTAACTCACAGAGAGTTTAAGTAGCCTCCCCCTGAAACCGTAACTACTAAGAGGCAGAACTGAGATTTAAGCCAAAAGATTTGACTCTCCAATTTACGACTCAAAGTGTAATTTTTGAACCATCAGCAGCAGCAACATCTACGAGCTTGTTAGATATGCAGAGTCATAGGCTCTGCCCCGGAGCCTGGAACAGATCCCGAATGTGAACATGATCCCCAGGCGACCGGCAGGCTCATTAAGGTTACAAAGCCATCTATGACCAAGCATGTATACTTAATCATCCTGCTGCACTAACACACTTCTCCCCTTCAACTTGTCCATGCCATTCTTCACTTAGCCCTCGTAAGTTTTTAAATTGTTATTATTCTTAAGTCACTGAGAACCAGGGTCAACTTCTGCTGAAGCAATAGCAAGGTTTTTGAACAATAAAAAAAGGCAGAGCCAACAAGAGATGGGGCAATTTTGGGGGGTGGAGACCAGACCAGGTCGCTAGAGTTCGGGTGGAAAAGCTAACCAAGTGAATATCTCCACATGATCACAGCTCCCTTAGGTCCTTAAATCCAGAGTCAGGAGGGGAGAGAAAAGCTGTCTGCAGGCTATCCAGAGAAATCACAGTTTATGAGCATGAGAGTGGTTATTTGGAAGACTCAGAGGCCCACTTAACACCAGTCATCCTAGGTTCAGAGACAGATCTCGAATCCATTTCTGCCGTTCAACACCACAAAGCAAGCCACTCTGTAAAATATCCAGCACTATCTGTTATGCTCGGCATTTTTGTTGTGTGTTTTTAAATGCTACAGTAGTTTGAGTAATATTTGTTTGATCAGTGAAGTGAATATTAGGAAATATAAGGCTTTGATATAATTGTAAATGTACATAATCTTTACTTTGTGTTTGGGTTTACAAAACGTGGAATCTGCGAAACAAATTTGGGGAAAGTCTCAGAAAATGTAGAAGGCTTGTTCTTCTGAGACATTCTAACAAGAAAACAGAATTTCAGTCCATGCCTGGCCCTGGCTGACCCAGCTTCATGCGGGCCATCGACCCTTGGCCTTCACGCATGTGTGCGGTATGGTGATCATGGGACTGGAACACGTGAGTGCTTCTGTGAAGATCCATAAGGAGAAGCTGGTAACTCTTTGAGGCAAAGGATTTTTGTCTCCATTATTGCATGACAGCAAAAGTTGATTCACTTCAAGCTTTGCAAAACAAAAACGAATCCTCTATTCTTCCTCTGAGTTCTATTCCTAGGGCCACTTTTTGTTGTATAACAGAAATTCAAACTGTTATAAGCTAAGAATAAAAGCGTAGCAATAAGCTTAAATGAAGGCCAGAGGGCACTACTACATTTCACTACCTATAAATGGGAAGAGAACAGTCACTTGGACTTGTGTGCAAGATGGGGTCAGGGAGGTGAATACTGAGTACTGATATGATAAAGTGCAGTCCTTACTGATTTTGAAAGAGACACAGGTAAGCTCTGATTGGTGGAAATGAGTCTTGGAAGAACTTTCCAGAGTCATTGTATTCTATTCTGATGTTTATCAGGCAAGCAAATGCAATAAACATCTGGTGGATTTCATGAGGTGCGTTTACCTGGCCCAACGCTGATCTTGACCCCATGGGGATAATTTATCTCAGAAGAGAGTATTAAAAAACATTCTGCATCAGGACATCAGTTCAATTAGTCCTTCCCTGTGCTCCCATGACATCCACTCATTCTCTAAATACCCCCTCCAAGGCAGCCTTCCACCATTTGGGACTTGCTTATTGTAGACAGATATAGATTCACATAGTTGAATAGGCCAGGTAGCTGAATATGCACTGTATTTGGAAGCAGCACACAAAGAAAACCCCACATATTTTTACACATACATTTTTCTCATATCCTTCTTTGTACCAATACTGACTTTATATAACTTTGATGACTACTAAAGAAAAATCAAGCATGATCATATTACCTACTCTAATTCAGAATGCAATAAATAAGCATCCATATGGATTTGTAAATAAAAACACACACACCCAACTTGTTACTCTATGGAAATAGGAAGCAAAGGGCAAAGAGCAATGCCTACCTTTGGCATGGGGAACTGGCACGCTCCAGAGCAATAATAGGCATCGAAGGACTTGGGGGAGATAATCCACTCACTCCAGCCAATATCTGCAAAGTCCACCTTAAGGTATCGCCTGGCACAATTCCGAGGTTCAATCCATTGCTTTCTTCTTGCCTTCTTCAGTGTCTGTTCATCAAACTGGAGCGTCTGGCTCTTCTGATGAGGTCCCTTTCTCTGTTTCTTCTTGTTCTTACTCTTCTCAGGGGGCTGAGTCTGAAGGGTCTTGTATGGCTTTCTTTCCTCCCATACCCCATCCTCCTTATATTGATATTCTGCACCAGGAAGCTCATTGTTCTGCAGAGGCAGCAGGACCCCAGTAGAACGCTTCTTCCTCCGTTCAATAGAAAGGGCAGCCCTAATATGGCTATCCAATTTGGGCACAGATCCAGTGGGAAAATTCCGGTGACCTTGGAAGTTTGATACCACACTCTCAGGTTCAGCAATGGCAGCATCGTTGGCATATACCAAGATATATGGCTCAGGAAATGATAACATCTTCTTTGGCAGCTGGTGTCCTTTGGAAGTTATGTTAAATCCTATGAGGAACTCCTCACTTTCCTTGGCCTTCCTCAAGAGTTGAGTGATGTCTTTAGACAGCCAAGATGCACCATCTCGATGAGGTTTGGCCACATCTGCTGAAAGATGACCCAGAAGTCGACTTTGGTTTCTGTTGGATTTGAGGATCCATACAGAGAGATCGATCTGAACATGTTTCCTCTGGGCATGATGGGAGCATTTTCTTGACACTGGACAACTCAGGCTGGTATTCGTCAGCTCTCCGATATAGAAATGCAGTGTGGCAGATAAAATGTTTTCAGACTTGGTTAGAGAAGTCATGTTAAAAATATGCAGACCCTTGCCTTCAAGGGTTCCTAGGAAGAAAAAAAAGAGAGTAAACAGGAGTAAACAGGACCCCTACCTCATACCATATTTAAAAATTCATTCGAAATGAATTAATGACCTAAATATAAGAGATAAAATCATAAAACTCTTAGAAGAATACACAGAGGTAAAACTTCATGGCTTTGGATTCAGTGAAGGATTCTTAGAAATGACATCTAATGTGCACACACCAAAAGAAAAAAATAGATAAATTGATAAAATAAGATAACCTGGACTTCATTAAGATGAAAACTTTTGTGCATCCAAGGACATTATCAAGAAAGCCTGTAAAACCTATAGAATGGGAAAAGTATTTTCAAATCATAGAATCGATAAAATCTAGGATCCAGAATACACAGATTACAACTCAGCAACGAAAAGTCAAATGAACCAATAAAAAATTGGCAAGGAATTGAATAGACATTTCTCCAAAGAAGAGCTACAGAGGGCCAACAGGCACATGAAAAGATGCTCACCATCAGTAGTGTTCATTAGGAAAGTGTAAATCAAACTACAATGTGGTACCATTTGACACATACTAGGCTGGCTACAATAATTAAAAAAAAACCCAAAATAACAAATGTTAGCAAGGATGTGGAGAAAGTAGGACTTGTTTACATTACTAGTGGAATGTAAAATGCTTCATCTGCTGTGAAAAATAGTTTGGAAGTCCTTCAAAAATTTAACATAGAAATATCACGGGACCCCACAATTCCACTCCTAGGTATACAGCCAAAAGAATTGAAATTAGGTACTCAAACAAGTACATGTATAAGCATGTTTATAATAGGACAATATTCAAGGGTGATGCGTATATCCAAACAATGGAATATTATTGACCTATAACAAGGAATGAAGTACTGATGCATGCTAGTGTGGGTGAACCTGGAAAACATTATGCTAAATGAAAAAAAGCCAGAAATAAAAGGTGCCGTATGATCCTATTTCTACAAAATATCAAGAATGGGTAAACCAATAGAGATGAAATACAGACTGGTGTTTGCCAGAGGCTGGAAGACTGGTTCCATCTCTCAAGATCATCACAAGGTAAGGCCGAGGTTAGACTCAAGAACCCAGTCTGGGGATGGGCCACCAGAGCCCCTCCTCCATGCACTTGTTTCGTATGCATATTTGTTTCAGAAACATACACACGACCATGAAATTACGTTCTTAATCAAACACATACTTCAGTCAAAAACTTTATAAAGATGTGGAAATTTAAAATGAGTTTATTGAGTCCTCCAGCACAAGAGAAGTGATGTGTGAAATACATTTGACTCATTTTTAACATCGTGTGAAGGAAAAAGGAGAAAACTGCCACTTGCGCACATTTGTATATTGCATGACACCAGGATAATATTTTGCAGGCCTCTGTGGCATCAGGGTTCTTCAGAGACTCTAGTCCTAATTTGGGCCAGTCACCATAGAATATAGTTTTATCCAAGCTTCGTGTAGCAGAGGGAGGTTTAATGTGGAAGGAAGAGAACTCAGCTTTCTAAGAACATGCCAATCGAATGGTTAACAAGTGAGCATCTGGGCAGGGAAGAAACGGCTATGAGAGGCATCACTGGTAGAGTCTTAATGAGGAAATTAATTGTGATCCTTTCCCACACATTTTGCTTCAAACTGTTTCCTTCTTTCAAACATGTTTCCAAACACCTATGACTTGCTGTTAATCAGCTTCTACCCCTGTGTCTAATTTTCAGTATCTTCCCATAAATGTCTCAGAAATCTGCCACATGGCTTCTTCGGATGGCTTTCATTTTAATGCAATACCTCATTTTGAAGTTAAAGCCTCCTCCCAGCTCCACCCTGCCCAGTAGTTGTCCTCCGGCAAATAACCTAAGCTCGTGAAGTCTCCGCTTGCTCACCTGTAAAGTGAGCGCAGGAGTATCAGCTACAGAGTTTTAAGAAGTAATTGAAAGACACTTAAAAAAAAAAGTAATTGAAAGGATGCAGGTAAAGCACATAGCACACAGAAACATTCAGTGAGATTCAGTGAGTGTTAGCAAACCAGAACCGCACTGTCCAGTGACATAGTGATCAGCCACTCAAGTTCAAATTGAGATGTTCTATAAATGTAAAATACACACTGGATTCCAAAACCTGAGTACAAAACTGAAGGTAAAATATCACATTAATCTATTGTATGTTGATTACATGTTGAAATGATAATATTTAGATTAGGAAGTTAAATGTTGTGATTATGTAATTTATAGTAAGAACTATTGGGTTGGACAAAGAGTTTGTTTGGTTTTTTTCTGTAAGATGGCTCCAGTGCACTTAATGGCCTTTAAGTTCATTAGAAACAATTCTGTTAGATTGTATTGTGACAGCTGTCATATCAGTGCACATTTGAAAAAAACATAGATGTTGGTGAATTTTTGTTTAGCCATTTTAATACTGAAGATGGAAGAAAATACTTAACATTTTTGGCATATTATGCTTTATTATTTCAAAAAAGGTAAAAATGCAACTGAAACACAAAAAAAGATCTGTGCAGTGTATGGAGAAGGTGCTCCGACTGTTCCAACGTATCAAATGTGGTTTGTGAAGTTTGGTGCTGGAGGTTTCTTGCTGGATGATGCTCCATGGTTGGGCAGACCAGCTGAAGTTGATAGCAATCAAATAAAGACATTAAACAATGTTATACCACACAAGAGATAGTCGACATACTCAAAATATCCAAATCAATAAAGTTATTGGTGAAAATGAAAAATGTGTCTCTTGTTTTAACAGAGAAAAAAACCCCATATAGCCCTGACTGGTGTGGCTCAGTGGATTGAGCACATTCTTGAGAACCAGAGGATCACGGTTCGATTCCCTGTCAGGGCACATGCCTGGGCTGCAGGCCAGTTCCCAGCAGGGGATACATGAGAGGCAACGGTACATTGATATTTCTCTCCTTCTTTCCTTCCCTTCCCCTCTAAAGATAAATAAATAAAATCTTTTAAAAAGCCATATAGACATTTTGGCCAACCCAACATACAGGGTCCAGCAAAAGTAAGGTTTGCTTGAGTGTGGTTGGTAGGGTAATGATATGGGTAATAATTTATAGTTTTAATTTGGACATTTCATTTAAAATGTGATATGGTGTGCTTGCAGGTGATATTGTTGTGTTACAGAATTAGATGCTTATGATTTTGTAGTAAAAAGGGGGCATTGTTTGTGCCAGACCCTGACCATCTTCCCTGTCTGTCTGGCACAGAACTCTGAAAACCCTTGGAATTTCCTAAGTGTTGAGAGCTGTCTAGGTATCTTTTGCTATGTTAGCAAGGTGACTTTAGGAGGTCAGGTGAGGATGGAGGCTGGTTGCCCGGTGACCCAATACAGCAGTTGGAGGGTTGAACTTTCAGTTCTACCCCCACACTCCCCACCTCTCTGGGGAATGGAAGGGGCCTGGAGCTTGAAGTTAGCACCAATGGTTGATAATTTCATCAGTCGTGCCTATGAATGAAGCCTCATACTCCCGCCCCCAGATGTGGGGTTTGGAGAGGCTCCAGACTGGTGAACACATAAATATTTGGGGACAAGGGGTCTTAGGAGTCTCCAGCATGTAGCCAGCTGGTCAGAAGAATAAGTAAAAACCTGGGCTATTAGCATCTGAAGTGCAGGTTGGTCTTGCAGGACAGAGCCCTTTACCTGCAGAATCTGATGCTATTTCCTACATATAGCATCAGAATTGAGTTGAATTCTCTGACACCCTGCTTGTCTGTGTGGGGAACACTCCTCCATTCAGAATTGAGTACAGAATATTTCAAATATATTGTTAAATTTAACTTGACATGTTGCTTTTTATATTTTTAAGTGTGGCCACTAAATTTTTTAAATTACATATGTGGTTGACATTTGAGGCTTACATTAAATTTCCATTGGACAGTGGTGGTCTAGAATAAACACCAGTTTTAGTAGTCATATGGTCCAAAGGGAAAGATAAAAAGGTATCTTTTTTCCCCTAAATGCAGTGAAGAATTGCAATTTTGCTAACCGTGAATATGCAAACCAAAAAGTAAACTGGGCAAAAAATGCCTTCTTAGAATGCAACATATTTATCAAGGACAGATTAGATAAAGATAATTTTGTTGATTACTTTTTAACTTTTCGTTCAGTTATACCTTATTGGTTTCATCTGCAATCACAATCCTAAAACCAACGAACTGCTCTAAATGGAGTGAAATGGGCAGATTAGCAGTAGTGTTTTATGACACAGTGATTATATTTATATAGCTTTGTGTTAACCTGGGCGTTACACATAAACAGCCACTACAACCAACAAAGAACAGGAACTGAAGCAAAACACATGTTTTACTTAACAAACAGGACTGTTTTACTACTAGGTGCTGGAACCCAGGCTGGGTCTCAGGCTGCACCAATGACAGCTGCTGTCCGCACTGTGGCAGGGGAGTTAATAAGCGATGTGCAGGTAGCCACGCCGTGATGATGCTCGTGCTGTCGAGGATGTTAACTGTGCTCTTGGAGCACAGAGGAAGGAGCAGTTAACTTTGCCTATTAAGGTGAAGAGGGACCCCCAGGGAGGAGGGCACCTTCGAACCAGACTTTTAAGAATGAAGGGGAAAGGGAGTGTTGGGGAGGGAATGGTAGGAGAACAGTAATGCAACGCGGGATGTCTGAGAGCTTTTGTAATGAACAATGTTTCCAATGTTTTCAGTAGAAATTTATAAAAAGTTTGCAAATTAACCTAGTTACTTAAAGTCCTAACAGACCTCTAAGCTGCCTATGTTCAGAAAAAGAATGGTCACTGCACATTTAACTCCTAATAGAAAGTGTTGCATGCCCAGAACTCGGTGACTTTGCTCCGCTCTCCACTGCCACCCAGACAGGGGACTCACGATCTCTTCCTGTTCTAGATCCCCTCCCCTGCTCTCTTTTAAACAATAAGCTTGAATCTCAACCATTCCACAAACCATTCCTTGATTTTTCTAACTCACACTTCATTTTTGCTTTCTCTGACCTTACAGCATTTAAGTTC